AAAAAAGCATTAGTTTTATGAAAAATTTTCTAGGCAAAAATTTTTTTGAGAATATTCATCGTTAAAAATAACTATTTCATTCCTGGAAACTCTTTTTCATGTAAAAACAATGTTATCCCTAAAGAATTGCGTCCCTCTATAAAAATTTTTTTTTTTGTAAAAACAAGAAAATATTTTTTCTCTTAAAAAAAAAAGCTTCTTTTTGCTATAAGATATTTTAAAAAAAAAAAAGGGTTTTTTTTTTTTAAAAAGATTGTTTTTAATAAAAAAAACCTTTATAGAAAAGAGATGATTATGAAAATGACAATAAATAGCTATAATAATAGTGACGATATACTGATCAATCTAATTAGATGTTTCTATTTTCTATTACGTCAGTTTCAATAACGAGGGTGTGGGTGTGGGTGTGGGTGTGGGTGGGTGTGGGTGTGTGGGTGTGGGTGTGAGTGTGGGTCTGGGTGTAGGTATGAGTGTAGGTGTGCGTGGGTGTCGGTGTCGGTGTAGGTCTGTGGGCGTGGTGGGGTGGGGGTGGGTGTGAGTGTGTGGGTTGGTGTGAATCTTCTTTTCACCCACCCACACCCACAACTTAATATCACTGATTGAATGTCCACAAATTTGTACTATTTATAATTAAAAATTTGTTTGTTTGTATTGTTTACTTTGAATGATACCATCAGTTGATAGATATTTGAACAATAAACAAGAAGAAAAAATAATAAATATATAAATTAGATCAATCATATTTATCTAATATATTCTCAATTGTTCGAAAATATCGGTTTCTTATTTGTTTACTTTTATCAATATAAATAGCACATTTTTTTTTCAAATATTGGAAAAACAGATGGTTATATTCGTTTGGAATGGACTGTTAAATATAGTTGCATCATATTTATTTTCTTTCGTAGTGGTTTATCTCTTCAAACAACACAACTTGCTAAAGAAGTTCTTCATATTCGTCTTCATCTTCTTATTCAAATTTATAGTCTTATTATAAGTCCATTTCTAGTTTATGGTTTATTAGTATTAGTATTATCAAGAACATCAATAAACAACATAGTGATTTTTGGTGTCATTTTAATAGATTCAATGTCAACAACGAGTTCTATTAATGTTATTATGACTAAAAATGCATTGGGAAATGAATCTGTTGCATTATTAAATGCAATACTTAGCAATATTTTAGGCATTTTTATGTCACCAGCTCTTATATTTGTTTTTAGGAAAAACTCAATGTTTGATTTATTATCAAAATCAAATAACACGCAAGACAGATTTAATTATAGGCATATTATTAAAAAACTTACGTTTAACTGTTTGACTTTCTTTATGTCTTGGACAAATACTTCATTTATTATGGTTAAAATAAATAATATATTTACGAGATAAATTTTATTTTTCTCAATTGAATAGTTTAGCTTTATTAATTATTGTATTGTCGATATTTTCTACTACTTTTTCCAATGAATCATTTCAAACGATATAGAAAAAGGATCTGCTCATTTTAATTCTTATTGATGGTTTCATTTATATTCTATTTTCATTATTAATTCTTATTATAGCCAGACTACCTATTCAATATTGGCAATTGTCTAAAAAAAGATACTCTTACAATCATGTTTACTTCCATTACCATTGATTATATATCATGCCGAACAATTATTAATAGGTGCTATTGAGAGTATATTATTGAAAATTTGGATAAAAAGAGCTAAATGAACCGCTTGAGACAGTAAAAGATAATAGTTATATTCAATGTAGTTATGAAGATAAACTTAAAACAGATGAATCCGAAACTATAAATGTTAAATATTGGTAGAAGTTTAACCGATATGAGAAATGATCTTCGTCATAAATAAATATTCGTTTTGTTATAATTATTTGTCTATATTTTAACTTATTTTTATCATTTATATGATTTTTTAAAAAGAACTATTTTCAAACATAAAGACATCTTTCGCGAATATTTCAACTATGCAATATTATTATAATGATTGAAATTACTGTTTCAAACTATATTCTTATTGAAACAAATATTTAAAGTGAAATATTTATTGATTTTTCAATAATTAAAACAAAATTATAGATCTGATACTGTCGAAAACGATTGAATTTTTGTGTAAATGTATATGTCAATATTACTCTTCTATTATATAGGACTCAAATGATCAATGATCATGCTTTATATTGTTCAATAGCTAATTAACTTTATTTTAATTTATTTTGAGATAGAACGACCGTTGGTTATTTATTTTAGAAAAAAAGCAAATCATATTTATTTATTGAAAATAAATCGAAAAATGTCATATTAATCATAAGTCTACTAATTGATGTATTTTGAGAGATACATAACTATTTTCATATGTTTCAGCTAACTGTAAAAGTTCTATGCAATAAATGATGAGAAAGAGAATGATCCTATTGTTTAACTAGATAGATTAGTCTTAAGGGTATTGTTTTGATTGTAGATATTGAAAATAATGTTTGATTAAGATGATTTATTTTCAACATCTCTTCGTATATAATCACATTGAGAAATGCATCAAACAGAGTTACTCTTCGTCAACTAGTATATGATTATATATTGTAATGATTTATTATTTTGATTGAATATTAATGAAAAGAGTAACACAGTTGCAAGTGAATCAAAAAAAAAATTCAATTTGTTTGAAAAAAAGTTGTCAGAATTCACTTCTGAAAACAATATATGATATAATTGATAAAGAATATAAATCGACTATTGTTTTGTTTTTTTCTTTCTTGATAGAAAACCTGACATGATTATAAACGAGAAAAAAAGTCCAAAAATGTTTTTTTTTGATATTTTGTTGTGTATTAGTGGTTATATGTCGCATTGACACCAATGAATCAAAGGCAACTACTGACTCATCATTGTACAAATATGATTGTATAGTTAAGCAAACAAGCTAGATGGATGAATAAAATAATCGAAATTTAATAAATTACATTGATTGGATAGAAATTTCTAGAGAATATTTTCTTATTTTTTTTGCTTCATTTAAAATATCGAAAAAAAATTTGTTATTCTTTCAGATTTTTTGAAATATTTTCAAAACAAAGTTAAATTAAACATAAAACTAGCGCAATCTATGTCAGATATTTAAAAACGTCGCAATAAATTGGATATAATAATGAAAAAATAAATCTTATATTATCAATAGGAAGTTTCATTAAAAATCTAATGAATAAATATAATTAATAAAAACAAATCGATTTAATCATAATGTATACTTATTTTAATATTCGATATTGTTAAAAAGAATATTGATTTAACTTATCAATTGAATAATGTCAGTAACAAAACTGGAATCACTTTCAAATGAAATTTTACTTTATCTTATCGAATATTATATAAATGGAGTTGATTTATTTATTTCATTTCTTAATCAATTAAATAATCGTTTTGATGCGCTTATTTATCGATCGAAACGATTTTATTTCGATTTTACCAGTATAAGAAAATCCGAGTTTAACATATGTATGAATATTCTACCACGATATCATCATATAATAACAAGTTTAACTTTATCCGAACGTGATACACCTGGTCAAATACATTCGTTTTTATCTTCATTTCGATCGTTTGAACAATTCAAAAAACTTCGTCGACTTCATTTAGATTTTGATGCAAATTCAGTTGATCTTATTGATGAAGCACTTCATTCTATATTAAAAACACGTATTCATACATTATCAATAAAAGGTAAAAATGTTCGCTCATTATTTGAATTTAATTGTGTTCTTTTGGCTATATTAACATTAACAAGAATTCAACGATTTTATCTTTCTGTTGATATTCAACCAGTTTTTTGTTATTTTCCATCATTGAATTTAATCTATCTTCAATATTTAACTATTGAAGGACGAGGTTGTACATGGAACAATGTTGAGCAGATTTTAAAATATGCTTTCCATCTTATTTATTTAAATGTACGAATTATTGAAGAATCATTGAATTCAATTGAATCAATAAATGATCAAGAAAATAATTATCAACTATTAACAAAACTTCATACATTGATTTTTGAATTCATTGATGATTATAGTTCAATTACATTTGATAAACTTAAATATTATTTTAATTTAATGCCAAATTTATATCAATTAGAAATAACTGATACAGCAGGTCAATATCGTTCTATGAATAATTGGAAAATATTATTTCAAACATCATTACCATTATTAAAGAAATTTATTTTTAAAATTGGTAGACTTTTTCTTTCAAATGAAAACATATCTGATATGTTAGCATCTTTAGAAGATTCATTTTGGATTGAAAAAAATAATTATCAAATCTATTTTATAACACATGATTATACTGATGATGATAATATAATTCTTTACTATTATCCAATTGATGCCAGACTTAATAGGAATAATTGTCAGAATAAATATGAAAATAATCTACAAGTTTGGTCAATTGGTCAACATGCAATGAAACAAAGTTATTCTCAAATAGATTCTATTGTTAATCTCTATCACTCTGGTAAATCATGTTTATTACCGACAGAACATTATTTCAATAATGTAAAACATCTTGAAATCGATCATCTTAATTCATTTTCATTTGAATGGATGACAAAACATATTGATCTATCAAATATAACTGAACTGGTCATTACACATACCGATCATAATTCTAATATCATTGGTTTATTAATAGAATGCACAACATCTATTATTTCACTACAGATTCATTTAAAACAATTGATCAGCTTACGAAAGATTCTTATGACAATAAATAAATCGGTAAAACGATTGGATATTTCAATTGATAGACATTCATTTCGAAAAAAAGATATTAAAATAATTTCACATCTATTTCCATCAATTGAACATTTGAAAATAAATACAACAAAACTCGACAATCTACCTTTTCTAACTATTTATTTAACTTCTCTTCGAAGTTTAACATTTAAATTTGTTTATTCTTTTAAAACACTTATGAGAAATATTCGACAAGAACAATTAAATCATATATTATGTCCTGATAATCAATATCTATTAACACAGTCAAAACAATCGATAACACTTTGGATTGATCAATCGACATTTCAACAACATATTTGGCGATCATTTCAATCAGTTCATAAACAACAATCAACTAAACGAGAACTATCAGAAGTTCATCTAAGTAAATGTATCTGCTGTTGATTTGCTGTTTATAATGTAAATTCTAATAATTTTGCTTTGCTTTTCATCGCTCTTCCTTATTTGTTATCATTAAAGACAATTTATATGATTTTTAAATTAATTTAAATCTCGAAATCAAATCAACTAAGACAAAAATATTCAATCTATCTCATAAAAACAATACTGCATAGATTTTATCGAAAAACACTTAAATATTATGAAAGAATATTGTTTTCATTAATATTTTCTTCTATTGTTCATCTTATGAAATATTTTCTCAAATTGACATAAACTGATTTATTTCTTAAGTTTATTTGTTTTAAGACTCAATTTGACCATAATTTGATCATAGTACCATAAAAATATATAGAAATATCTATAAAAATCACGAATGTTTATATGACATATGATAATAGAGATACTGATTATCATCTATCAACGTTGATATATAACCCTGTCGATATTCAAACACTAGTCGTTTATGTTCTGATCAGCATAGACTTTATATGTGTTAATGTTCATCACATTTATTTTAACAAAGAATTATATTTCTCATGAATAATAACAATGAATACAGGAGAAATTTTACGAATCCTAGTGTTCGAACACTATATTGTTACATGTTGTTGACAATATTTACTAAGAATAAAATGTATCATTTTCGATGCTAAACATAAAAATTAAAATGAGTTCTCCAATCTACTCATTCCTCTTCTTTTTTTGTAGCATTGTGAGAAAAAGATCGATAGCACAATTCATTTGATTAACTCTCTTCACAATTCATCACAAAACAAATCTATTATACATGAAGAAAAAAGGCTAAATCTTTCAACGATTAAATCGACTTTCTTTTTCAAGAAAAAAGGGAAAATTTTTAATTTCGCCAGTTTTTGAAGCTGAAACGAATTTCACTCACTTATATTGCATTGACTATCAACATTGGTTGTATTCTCACATGAGCAACTTTAGGGTGTCGCATGAAACTCGTCACCTTTCTATCTTCTGAATGATCAACCAACCTCTGTTGAAATCAGTTAGACGTCAATAGTTTTATTCCAATTCAAATAACTATGACTAAAAGAATAAACTAGCTATCTATCTATAATCACTTGACACGAAGTAAAGACAAAAAGGGTGTGGGATTGGTGTAGGTTTTGTCTTCTCTCACACCCACACCCACACCATAATAAATATGAAAATCATAAAGAGATTCATAACATATTTGATTTAAATATAAAAGTCTCTCTTTATTTGCTGGCTGAATATCATTTATCAATAAACTTACTATTTTGAAACAACCAGATCGAAGATCATCATCATAACAAACAGACAATATTAATAGACAATCTTCCCAATGATATGCTAAATAAACAAGACAAAAAAACTCTATTCTTTCAAATAGAAAATTTTCATATATACAATAACCTAAATGTTATTTAACTCACGATGAATTCAATTTTAATTGATAAAGTTCTTCGATCAAGTTTTGAGAATCATAAGAGATTGGATTCAATGATAAAAATAACCATAATTGGTTTAAATCATTAATCATTGATAATAAATCAGGGTGTGGGCGTGGGTGTAGATCCAGAAAAAGAAGATCCACACCCACACCCACACCCACACCCACCCACACCCACATCCACACCCACCCACACCCTCACCCCACCCACCCACCCACCCACACCCACATCCACCCACATCCACACCCACACTCACACCCACCCACACCCATACCCACACCCCACACCCATCCATGAGATATTCGTAATTCGGGAATATGCAGTAATGACCAGGAATTCCTGCATTTCCTAGTGATTCCGGATGTGCGGAAATTCCCGATGTGCAGAAAATCCGGAATTCCGCTTTGCGTTTATTCAAGCCCGATAAATGATAGCTTAGCCATCGATGAGATGTTTGTAATTCCGGAATATGCAGGAATGACCAGGAATTCCTACATTTCCTAGTGATTCCGGATGTGCAGAAATTCCCGATGTGCAGAAATTCCGGAATTCTCCTTTGTATTTCTTCAAGGTCGATAAATGATCACTTAGCGATCCATAGGATATTCGTAATTCCGGAATATGCAGGAATGACCAGGAATTCCTGCATTTCTCAGTGATTGCGGATGTGCAGAAATTCCGGAATTCCGCTTTGCGTTTATTGAAGCCCTATAAATGATCACTTAGCCATCCATGAGATATTTGTAATTCCGGAATGTGCAGGAATGACCAGGAATTCCTGCATTTCCTAGTGATTCCGGATGTACAGAAATTCCCGATGGGCAGAAATTCTGGAATTCCGCTTTGCGTTTCTTCAAGCCCGATAAGCGATCACTTAGCCATCCATGAGATATTGGTAATTCCGGAATATGCAGGAATGACCAGGAATTCCTGCATTTCCTAGTGATTCCGGATGTGCAGAAATTCCCGATGTGGAGTAATTCCCGATGTGCTGAAATTCCCGAATTCTGCTTTGTATTTCTTCACGGTCGATCAATGATCACTTTGCCATTCATGAGATATTCGTAATTTCGGAATATGCAGGAATGACCAGGAGTTCCTGCATTTCCTAGTGATTCCGGATGTGCAGAAATTCCCGATGTGTAGAAATTCCGGAATTGCGCTTTGCGTTTATTCACGCCCGATAAATGATCACTTAGCCATCCATGAGATATTGGTAATTCCGGAATACGCAGGAATGACCTGGAATTCGTGCATTTCCTAGTGATTCCGGATGTGCAGAAATTCCCGGTGTGCAGAAATTCCTGAATTGCGCTTTGCGTTGATTCAAGGTCGATAAATGATCACTTAGCCATTCATGAGATATTCGTAATTCCGGAATATGCATGAATGACCAGGAATTCCTGCGTTTCCTAGTGATTCTGGATGTGTAGAAATTCCCGATGTGCAGAAATTCCGGAATTCCGCTTTGTATTTCTTGAAGGTCGATAAATGTTCACTTAGCCATCCATGAGATATTTGTATTTCCGGAATATGCAGGAATGACCAGGAGTTCCTGCATTCCCTAGTGATTCCTGATGTGCAGAAATTCCCGATGTGCAGAAATTCCGGAATTCCGCTTTACGTTTATTCAAGCCCGATAAATGATAACTTAGCCATCGATGAGATATTTGTAATTCCGGAATATGCAGGAATGACCAGGAATTCCTACATTTCGTGGTGATTCCGGATGTGCAGAAATTCCCGATGTGCAGTAATTCCCGATGTGCTGAAATTCCGGAATTCTGCTTTGTATTTCTTCAAGGTCGATCAATGATCACTTTGCCATTCATGAGATATTGGTAATTCCGGAATATGCAGGAAGGACCTGGAATTCGTGCATTTCCTAGTGATTCCGGATGTGCAGAAATTCCCGGTGTGCAGAAATTCCGGAATTGCGCTTTGCGTTTATTCAAGGTCGATAAATGATCACTTAGCCATTCATGAGATATTCGTAATTCCGGAATATGCATGAATGACCAGGAATTCCTGCATTTCGTAGTGATCCCGGATATGCAGAAATTGCCGATGTGCAGAAATTCCGGAATTCCGCTTTGTATTTCTTGAAGGTCGATAAATGATCACTTAGCCATCCATGAGATATTTGTAATTCCGGAATATGCAGGAATGACGAGGAATTCCTGGTTGTGGCATGTAATTGAAGGAAAGGGTGGTGTAAGCATATCCGAAATTGATGGTAAGTGATTCTGGGTCAGAAGGCGATGCAGGAATGTGTAACTTTTGGGAATAGGAAGCATTCTGAAAAATTTCATGAATAAATGACTTCTGACGACAGATTTTCGACGGGGCGGGGCGGTATGACTTTTTGGCTGCCCCGTCCATCTCTGATTCATACATACACCCGCACACATAGAAGTGCACAAAGAACCAACGTTAAGTTTGCAGTGGTCTCAATGTTATAATTAAACGAACAAGACATGAATCGAGATAAGAATGTGCAATTAATACTGTTGTACTTTGTTGTGATTCATATGTTTTTCGTGTACTATTTTATATTGAGATTTTGAACAAAATTTTGAAGCTTGAAAACATTGTTGTTGTAATTAAATTTTTTATAGATTGCTTTTGTAGAATGCTTTTTATTTTCTTTACAGAAAACAATGCAACATTTATCCATAAAATTTTCATATTATCATTAAATATCTTGAAAGTTCTAAACGTTATCTTGTAAAAAGTTTACTCTTTAGTTTCAAAAACCGAAAATTTAAAACTTAAGGAGTTAAAAACTCTTTTAAATTAGTAAGATATGGGATTAATTCTGTTTCGATGTAAAGACAAAAATCCACACTATTACATGTTTTTGGCTTATTAGATATATTCTTGGAATGTTTCTCACGAGACACCATCAAGCTTTTGCATTGTTATCTGTTGCCAATAATGGTTTTGTTTTCTTTTCAGAATATGCCAAATAACTACAAAGTAGAAAGAGAACATCAGAGAAAAGATCTATGGATAGCTTAACACATCCACTCACCTCATGATAAGCAAAGGAAAGATACCTAGGAGTGCGACTACAAAAAAGACCAGTCCAGGCCAGAAGCGCAGCGATGCATTGTAGATGGCATTCGATGCGACATCCATCGCTTTGTCACCACCAGCTTCAATGAAGGTCGCAGCAATGAAAACAATAGCATATTCGTTGGATTCTACTAGTCTGCTCAATTTGGATCTTAGTACTGGCAACGTAATAAAAAATATACTTCCAATAGATATAGCTAAAACGAAATAGATCTAATTTGGTCAACGATATATGAAACTTATTCCATAAACAAACCAATGTAGAGTAACCAGGCCCATCTGGCCAATCCGACGAGAACACAATCACAGACAAGAGCAAGCAAACCGACAATGGGTAAGAAATAGGTCTTGTCCAAGTGCTGGTTTTTGAACAAACTGATTAACAGAGTGAGCACACAGGCGCTGATTGCACGAGTTGTTGCGAGCAAACCAACATGGAATGCATCCATACAAAATGGGCGTCCATAGACGAAAAGGACA